TTTCCAATCTTCGAATTCCATTAACTTCATTGAGGCAATCATGTAAATCTGTGGGAATGTTAGACAGGGCGATTGCAATTTTGTGTGTAGAATATCCAGCGTTTCCATCTTATTCTCAGGGTCTCAGTTGTGGCAGCCATGAATAAGTGGTCTCTTGTGGCTGTGACCTAAGTGACAGAAGGCCCAGGCTATTGACTCTCATTGTACCATGTCCTCTGCAGAGACCATGGTTTCTGCAGTGGGGTAGGACAGCAAGGCAGACTCTGTAAGACCCCAAATCCCTCTGCTTGGTGACTGTAGGGAACTCAGCCTCAAACTTGTAGAAACACTGTTGGAACTGCACTGCCATCTAAGACATGCCTCCTTCTCTGCCTCCACAGAGATCATATCTGCATGTGTCCTGAGGGCTATCCCAGGCTCACCGTCACAAGTATATTCCTCCACTAATAACTTGCTTGTCTCAGCCCTTCATGGTCACATCCTGGAGGATGAAATCTAGTAAATTACCAGGTTTAGAAAGTTTGCATCAGACACCCCCCTCATTTTTTCTCTCCCATTTTTATTTAGTAGCTATGTTAAAGTGGTTTCACCTTGTGTATAACATGTGTCTCCCCACACTCCTTATGTATCAATGCTGTCCTCACCTCTTCACTCGTTGTTGTGACCATTTGGGGTTCAAACCTCACCAGTCTGCTCAAGAGTGATTATTAATGCTAATGTTGACCAAGGTGGTATGGTATTTATGATGTGGCTGGCCCTGTATTTGTATCTGGTTTCATCTATAGGATGAGTCTGTCACATAGAAATTACTTCCATTCAGAGGATGAAAAACTGGAGCTTAAAGTGGTTTTCAAAAAGTACTTAAATCTGTATGGTTAATCAGAGATAGACCTGGCTACCTGACTTCAAGGCTAACACTAGTGGTAGGAATAATTGCAGCAACATTTTTTCTTTCTCTGTGTGTGGTATTTTGCCAAAAAGGTTACTTGATTATTATATTAAGTCTTTAAAAACTACTATGAGGCAGGTGAAGGATGTGCTATAACCTAGCACCCTAGCATCAGAGGCTGAGGCAGGATGATTGTGATTTTGAGACAAGTTTGGGTTATATAAAGAGACCCCTGTCCCCTAAAATGTTCCCTCAAGCTAGTAGATGGAGAAAACTAAAGATGAGAATGAAGATAAACAAAACAGAGTCTAGAGTAACTGCAAAGAAAGCTGATGCACCAAATGTTGGTTCTTCAAAAATGATTAACAACATTAGCAAACTTTTCCCAAATGAATTTTTTTTTTTTCGAGACAGGGTTTCTCTGTGTAGCTTTGCGCCTTTCCTGGAACTCGCTTTGGAGTCCAGGCTGGCCTCGAACTCACAGAGATCCACCTGGCTCTGCCTCCCGAGTGCTGGGATTATAGGCGTGCGCCACCACCGCCCGGCTCCCAAATGAATTTTTAAAAAATGAGGTGGATATTAATACAATTTGAGATCTCACCATCCATTCTCAAGAATATGTAGATTTTCAAGAGCACTCAGTAGTTATATGCTAACTGTTGTGTGGCCTAGATGCAATGGACAAATTCCTACAAACATAGATTCTTTAGAGATGGAAGGGTGAAAGAAACCAAATGGAATAGCTGTATAACCAATAAGATTGAATCAACAAAAACATTGACAAAATTTCACAGACTTTGATACGAAAAAAAAAAAAAAAAACACTGAAACTGGATGGAAGTTCAGTTTAGTGTAACAAAGGCCACACATGGAAACCCACAGCCAACATCATATGCAGTAGGGAGTCTGACAGCTTTCTCTTTAAGATCAGGAAGAACACAGGATGCTGCTGTGACCACTTCTGTTCAAGAGACCTTTAGAAGTGCTACACAGAGCCTTAGGCTAGACAATGAAATGAAGGTGCCCAATTATGAGGTGCTAAATATATCTGTAGATGAGAGGAACTTGTTCATAGAAAATCCTGAACATTCTACAGAAAGATCTCAGAACTAAATGAGCAAAATTTGTTGGCTATTGCAATGAAAAAGCCCAAGTGAGCTGTATTTCTGTATACTACTATTGACCATGAACAATTTGTTTTTTGTTTTTCCTGGCAGTAGTGGAGCTTGAACCTACAGCCTCATTCATGCCCAGCAAGTGTTCAGCCCCTGAGCAATAAATAGTCCCAGCCATAACAGTGAACAACTGGAAAAGAAATGAAGAAAGTATTTATTTGTGAAAGCACCAAAAAGAATAAAATACTTAGAATTAAATCTACCAAGGAGATAAAAGACTTGCACTCAGAAAACTACCAAATAAGAGATGATGAAAGAAGACAAGAAATGACAGCCATTGGGGTTGATGGGTTGGAGACTTAATCTCATTATTACTGTTGTTCTGCAGTACTGGGATTGAAGCCAGGGCTTTGTGCATGGTAAGCAATGCACTACCACTGAGCTATACTCTAAGTTCTGTCTTGTAATTTTTATTTAGAAACAGGATATCACTAAATTAATCAGGCTGGCCTTGAATTGGTTGTAGTAGGCACTTTTAGAACTTGGTACTCCTGCCTCAACTTCTTGAGTGGCTGGAACTTTTTTTAATAGATGACAATATCCCTGAATGTACTCTATCAGTTCTATGCATATCAGATCAAAACCCCAGTGGCATTTGCACAGAAATAGCAAAGTCCATTCTAGCTGTTCTGAAACTCACTATATAGATCAAGCTGGCCTCAAACTGCTTGTCTCTGTTCCAAAGAGCTGGGGTTAGAGGCAAGCATCACCATAAATGGCCTTAAAAGTATCTTGAAAAAAACAAGAATAAAATTGCAGGTCATCCCCCATGATTTCATAATTTTAGTACAAAGCTGCAACAATCAAAATAGTCTACTGCTGACAGAAAGGCAGACATACAGATCAGTAATATAGAATTGGAAAGCCCAGAACTGCTCATGCACACTGGCCATGATTAAATTAAAGATTAGTTGAAATGATCAATATGTGTATTCATGGGGCACAGTTTTGCATATATATTACCATGTATGTCAGATATGCACAGTTGGCATATCCAGCATTTCATCTGTCACTTTTTATGTTTGTTAAAGCATACATTTCTGCTGGCTCTTTTGAATTAATTGGTGTGAAACAGAGTTGTCCTATTGAGTTACAGAACATGGAAGGCATTCTTGCTGTCCATCTGACCCTCTGTGTCCAGATGTGTTTTGATCAGGCTGCTAAGACTGCACAATGTTGGAAGTAAAATCAGTTAAGCAAGGGATGTTAGGAAGATGTAATATCCAGGTAAAAGAATGAAGTTAAACCTTCACCTAACAACATACACAAATCAACTCTACATGGATCAAAGACCTAACATGGATCAGAGCTGAAAGTCATCAGACTTTTAGGAGACCAGATGAAAGCATCTTGAAATTGATTTCAAATGTTGTCTTTGTTATGATGACAGATGCATCATATGGGCCTTTTGGCTGCTTATATGTCTCTACACCACATGCATGTTTTCTACCTGAGGAGGACAGAAGAGGGTGTTGAATTCCTTGGAACTTCAGTTACAGACAGTAACAAGTTACCATGTGGGTCCTGGGAATTGATCCCCTGTCCTTTGGAAGAGCTGCTAGGGCTCTTAACTATTGAGCTATCTCTCCATGCATTTGGTTTATGGGACTGGAGAGATAGCTCAATAGTTAAGAATCAAATACACACACACACATCACATACACACACACACAGAGATACTACTACTACTACTACTACTACTACTACTACTACTACTACTGCTACATACCACAAAAAACAGATATCAGAAAAATGGAGTCTTGTGCAAGGAGCATGAGGATAAGTAACTCAGTATATGGGCCACCAAAATGGCTCAGTTGCGAAGAGTGCCTGCTGTGCTCCCTCACAGTACCTACCCCCAACTGCCACACAGATAGCTATAAATGCACAAACAATGTGGGCCAGTGCGATGGCTTACCAGATAAAGGGCTTGCTCACCTACCTTAGTTCAATTCTCTATCCCCAGAAACTGGCCCCCACAAATTGTCTTATGACCTCCACACACTAGAGGGGAACAACCATGCAAAATGAATACATAGGCAAATGTAGTAAGAAACTCAATACAGGTCCTTTCTATCTATGAATTTTATATTTATGGATCAAAACCTTGGAAACAAACTACTTGGAAAAGTATGTCTGGGATGAAAAGTGTATTGTTTCCTCCTATCTTTGTGCTGTATTCAACAGAATAAGACTAGGGTCTATGCAGTATTCATATTAGGTATTGGAAATAATCTAAAGAAAATTTGATTGTGTGGTATGGGATATAGCGGAACATGAATATATTACTAGATTCTGAGTGTGGTCTGTGTGTCTGACTCAGACCCTAAACTCTTAATCACTTTGCATTTCTATTTGCTATATTAACATCTATTGTTGTTATTATTGTCCGGGTCTCACAATGTAATCTGGACTGTCCTTGTGCTTCTTTTTTTATTAAGAGATTTTCTATTCATTTCACAAACCAAACACATATTCCCCTTTCCTCATTCCCCCAGCCCACCAGTGTTCCCACCCCATACACCCCTATTCCCAACTCCTCCAAGGCAATGTCTCCCATGGGGAGTCAGCAGAGCCTAGTCCATTCAGTTGAGTGGCCTTGTACTTCTATGCCTCCTGCTTCATGTTCTCTCTTTTGACACAGGGTCTCACTATGTAGCTCTGACTAACCTAAAACTGGTATAAGACCAGGGTGGTTGGGAACTCATAGAGATCCAACTGTCTCTGCCTCTGGGGGTTAAAGGCATGAAGCACTGTGCTCACCTTGCTTGGTGTGTTATCATGAGATTAACATGCATCCATCACCAAGCTGGCTGTATTTGTATCTTGAGCCATGTTTTTCTCCTTGTGACTTTGACCCATTCTGCACTCTGTTAATAAAGAAACTGCTCCCACCCCCAAAGCTATGGAGTAAAAAGGGAGGAGAGGTCACTCACCTGTTATGTCCACCTGGATGGTGTCACTCCTCTTGGAACTGACTTGATTGGATACTTCACACTGATAGTCCCCGGAATGCGAACTCCTGGCAGGGACTATTTCGAGGGTGCTGTTGTTCGGGGACAGCCTCATCTCATTCGTGATCCTCAGACTCTGGCCTTTGAAGAGCCAATGGATTGAGATCCCAGTGTCGTTTGACAAGCACTTCAGGATCACAGAGGTCAGGCCTTTGACTGTGGTGTTGGTGAATTGGATGGAGGGTTTAATCACTGGTTCTGTGAATAAACAGTGGAGGGGACCAGCTGAGAGTCCTTCACCCTCAGAGATCTCAGCCAGCTCCCAGGGTACATACAATGAAGGGGCCCTCTGCAAGATCACATGTTTAAGATATAGTCTGTGAAGAAAGAGCTGAGTCTTACTCCTATGAAGATGACCCACAGTGACCCTGATTCAGGGTATTTGTGTTGATTCCACACTGGCAGCCTCTCCAGCACACATGTCCAGAAATCTCAGTGGGGGAGGAATATTTCCCAATGATATTTGTGTAAATTCTTGCTCACATTTTCTGTGAGTGTGAACAGTCAGATTCTGCCTTTATGAAATAACCTTTTAATTTTTATTAAAAAATTAGTCATAGGTTTAAGATGGCCTAGCTAAACTTAGCAGTGTTAAAGGCTAGAACTCAGGACTGGGAGAATTCCCTTAATGAAGAATTTCTTTTTGTAGAAAAATTGTATTTCCTGCCCCAATGGATATGGATTAAAAACAAAAGAGTAGAAGTGAATAGTCACAGTGCTGACCACAGCCTGCCACTCTAATGCTCAGTACTGATATTTTTTGGGACAGGGTCTCACTGATCAGGTCTGGCTAGCTTGGGACTTGCTATGTAGACCAGGCTGCCTCAAGGTCACACTATCTACCTGCCTCTTCCTCCTCAGTGTTGGCATCAAAGGTGTGCACAACCATGATCAGCTGATATTTGTTTTTTGAACCTTGAGAAGAGTAAGCAAAAGAACGTCATCAACTGTCAGAGACATAGTTCACCCTGACTCAGAACAGGGCTCTCAGGTACCTTCTCAACCCACTCTTTCCATCCCATGGAGTCAGAACTGAGCCTGCCACCCCACCCATGAGACAGGAGCAGACCTGGGAGCAGAGGTGTAGTCCCCATCTGTGGGGAATATTCTCCTCCAATTTGGAGAATAAGAATGTGAGCAAAGTTGAAAGCCCTGGGTGTACCTTGTAGGTCATGGAGATCATAAAATGAAAATGGAGGGGACAGTAAAGCTTGTGTTAGGCACAGACAGAATTCTTGACCTTGAGGCTCTCCTAACCATGCAAAGTCCCTCACATAACTGAAGACTTTCCAAGACTGGGAAAACCTCCTCCTCTCTTTGCAAGCTCCATCCCTATCGGCCAGGAACCAAAGAACTGGGAGGCCATTAGACATGGGGATGGAGCAGGAGGCTTGGGGGAAGACTGAGTTTTGCTTGTTCCCATAGTCCTGGGCTGGAAATTAAATGCTTCTGCACCTTCGCAGAAAGCCAAAAGGCTCCACTCCTAACCTGGTACTGATATTTCAGAGATCCACTTAGTAAGGACTATATTGTTTTTGATTGTGTTCTTACTGAGGACAGTGACAGTTATAGACCAGGAAGGTATAAGATCCACTCTTACTAGTATTGATGTTGGGAATATAGTGCTCTTGGGAGGATGACTGGAGCTCTTCATTTACAAACCAAGAGTACTGTGCAGGTGGGTTAGCATCTGTGTGGCAGGAGATGTGAGGTTTCTCCTTGAATGGGAATGAATATTTGAGGGGGATATGATCTGGACATCAGGACCAACTGGAGAAAATAGAATAAAATCACACATGATGTCAGCAGAGGGAAGGGGAAATCCTAGTCGGTAGAAGGACATAGTATCTCTTTGAGCTGTGCTTTTACCTTAGTTGAGCAGGTCCTACCCAGAGCTGGGGTGCAGATTAGCAGAAGAGTACTTATTCAGCATGCACAAGCCCCGATCTATCTTAAGCACAACACACAAACATCCCACTGCACACTCATGTGTGCACTGAGACTGAGTCTGACTTGTCCCCTGTCTCCATCACCCTGAGTCTCTCTAGGCAGAAGTCCCTGCAGCCCATTCAAGCTCAATGCTGGGCCTGTCCACATATGTTTTGGCTGTACAGGATGCCCTGGCAGCCTAGGAATCTGTGTGGTAGGTCTGTGTCATGAACCCAAGGGGACTGGGACCGAGCATGGTATAGCTCTAGCCCTCTGTATTTAGGCAGTTAGGGCCAGGATGAAACAGAAAATACTTACAGGTGATGTTCAGAGAGAATGGGTCACTTGGGGAGGCATTCACTGGGTTCCAGGTTCACATTCATAGGGTCCTGTGTCAGTCCTCACAACACTGAGTAATGTGAGAGTCCTGTTGTCCTCAGACAGCTTCAGCCTGTCCTCTTTTGAGAGTCTGTGGTCATTTATCCTCCACAGGTAGGCTGTATTCTGAGTCTCAGGCTCACACATTAATGCTACTGAGTCCTCACCCTTCATGGGATTGGAATTGTTGGTTGTGAGGTTGAGCTTGGGTAGCAGTGCTATGCTGACCACAGAGAGATGATTGTCATGTGTGGTACTTCTGATTTTTGCAAAGTCCTCTTATGACCAGAGACAGTCTCTTAACTTCCAGCCTGCCCAGATCCTTAAAGAATCAGGTAGGAAGCAAATTAGAGGCAGGTGGAGTGGCTGGGTGCTCAGAGATAATGGGGCCTCCTGTGCTGTGTATGGGAGCAGAAAAGACTTTCTCATGAGTGAACTGGGCTGCAGTGTTTGGTGATGGTCAGACTCAAGACTTGGAATCAGAGACCTCATTTTATCTCCTGGTCCTCACTGACCCATTGCCTGCCTTGAGATACAAGGTTCAGGTCTCTCCAGCTACACTGACTTCCCCTACTGTGTGTAGACCAAAGCCCTCCCAGCCTTTGCTGTTCAGGACTGTCCTACAGATAGGTTATGATTAAGCTTCCCTGAGAAACCTAACAGCCTGTCCGAGATCTCACAAGGCTCAGGATCTGCCTGACATTTAGTTCAGGCTGGGCCACAGTTGGGCTATTCTTGTCAGGTGTTTGATGTTGATTGACATGAATCTGGTAGCCCTATAAGAGTCCCAAATCTATGAAATGATCTAGAGGAGTGAAGGTCACCTAGTAGGTCTTCATGGTGGGGAGGCTGGAGATGTTATGTGGACTAATAGCTTGTGCCACTGATGGCCTATGTGACCCTGACTCAACCACTGTGTTTCCTGTCTAAGTTTCCCTATAATAGGACACATGGTAAATGATCATTGCTAGGTCTGTAAAATAACCTTAAATGTGAACAATGACCTGACCTTCCACCAAGCAGTGTCTACTAGTATTTGCCTGCAGGAAATAATCCCTGGACTGTGGTGGGAGAGATGGCTCAGTGATTAAGAACACTGGCTGCACTCCGGGGAGGAGCTGCCCAACTTGGCCCCAGGTTCTGGCCATCAGGCAGGACCCCACCCCCACATCCACTGGGAAGGTTTCCCTTTTCCAAGACCCCAGGCATACCCTGTAATCTACGTGCCCTGCCCCCACACCCATAGACCCAAGACCCCAGCCACTGCCTGAGACTCAGAGACCAGCCCCCAGCTCCCATCTGGCCCAGAGCTTCTGTCAGGACCAGAGAGAGACTTCCTGAATCTGTCAGCTCTGTCTGGACCAAGAGTGCTGATAAGGCCAAGAACAAATCCATAAGGAGATGGGCAGACATCAAGGCAGAAGTACATACAACAAAATAAAGAGCAATACAGCATCACCAGAACCTAGGCCTCCTCCAACAGCTAGACCTGAACATCACAAAATGGAAGAAGCAGAAGAAAGCAACCTTATGAATAACATCATGAAGATGCTAGAGGCTTATAAAGAAAAAAATCCAAAATGAATTGGAGGAACAAACAAAAAATGGGAAGAACGCTACAAAAAAAACTAGAGGAAAGGACAAATAAAGCAAAGAAAACAATAAATCCCTGAAAAAAAAATCATGAAAAAGCAAAAGAACACATGAGGGAAACAGTCCAAGATCTGAAAAGGGAAATAGAAACAATGAAGAAGACACAAACAGGGAATGCTGGAAATAGAAAATCTGAGTAAACGAACAGGAACTTCAGATGCAAGTATAACCAACAGAATGCAAGAGATGGAAGAGAGGATCTCTGGTGTTGAAGATACAGTAGAAGAAATAGATCCAACAGTCAAAGAAAACACTAAAGCCAACAAAGTCATGACCCAAAATGTCCAAGAAATTTGGGACACCATGAACAGACCAAACCTACAAATAATAGGGATAGAGGAAGGAGAAAAATACCAACTCAAAGGCACAGAAAATATATATTCAACAAGATCATAGAAGAAAACTTTCCCAACTTAAAGAAGGAAATGCCTATGAAGGTACAGGAAGCCTATAGAACACCAAACAGAGTAGACCCCCCAAAATAGTCGCCTCACCACATAATAATTAAACAACTAAATCTACAGAATAAAGAAAGAATATTAACAACAGCAAAGGAAAAAGGCCAAGTGACTTAAAAAGGCAAATCCATCAGAATAACACCCGATTTCTCAATGGAGACATTGAAAGCCAGAAAGACCTGGACAGATGTAATGCAGACACTAAGAGACCATGGATGCCAGCCTAGACTAGTATACCCAGCAAAACTTTCAGTCATCATAGACGGAGTGAACAACACATTTCAAGACAAAGCCAGATTTAAACAATACTTATCCACAAACCCAGCCATACAGAAAGTACTAGAAGGAAAATTCCAACCTAAGGAAGTCAGATACACCCTCGAAAACACAGGCAATAGATAACACCACAGCAGTAAACCCCAAAGAAGAGAAGTACTCACACACTACCACCAAAAAAATAACAGGAATAAACAATCACTGGTCATTAATATTCCTTAATATCAATGGACTTAATTCATCTATAAAAAGACACAGGCTAACAAGAATGGATATGGAAGCAGGACCCATCTTTCTGCTGCATACAAGAAACACACCTCAAATTCAAAGATAGACACTACCTAAGAATGAAAGGCTGGGAAAAGACTTTTCAATCAAATGTTTTTAAGAAGCAGGTGGGTGTAGCCATCCTAATATCCAGCAAAATAGACTTCAAACTAAAATCAATCAAAAGAGATCAAGAAGGGCTTTACATACTCATCACAAGAAAAATCCACCAAGTTGAAGCTTCAATTCTGAACATTTGTGCCGCAAATACAAGGGCACCCACATATGTAAAAGAAAATTAGTAAAGCTTAAATCACATATAAAACCCAACACATTAATAGTGGGAGACTTCAACACCCCACTTTCACCACTGGACAAATATTCCAAATCGAAACTTAACAGAGAAAAAAAGGACTTAACAGATGTTATGACTCAAATGGACTTAATCAATATCAATAGAACATTCCATCCTAACAAAAAAGAATATATCTTCTTCTCAGCACCCCATGGGACCTTCTCTAAAACTGACCACAAACTTGGCCACAAAGCAAATCTCAACAGATACAAAACAATTGGAATAACCTACTGTGTTCTATCAGACCACCATGGTTTAAAGTTAGCTTTCAACAACAACAAAAACTACAGAAAGCCTACAATCTCATGGAAACTGAATAATGCTCAACTGAATCACCAATGGGTTAAGGAAGAAATAAAGAAAGAAATTAAAGACTTCCTAGAGATCAATGAAAATGAATACACAACATACGCAAACTCATGGGACACTATGAAAGCACTGCTAAGAGGGAAATTCATAGCACTAAATGCCCACATAAAGAAGTTGGAGATATCTCACACTAGTGAATTAACAGCACATCTGAAAGCTCTAGAACAAGAAGAAGCAAAGTTTCCCAGGAAGAATAGATGCCAGGAAATTACCAAATTGGTAGCTGAAATCAATAAAATAGAAACAAAGAGAACAATACAAAAAATTAATGAAACAAAGAGTTGGTTCTTTGAGAAAATCAACAAGATAGATAAGCCCTTATGCAAACTAACCAAAAGACAGAGAGAGAGAGCATCCAAATTAACAAAATCACAAATGAAAAGGGAGACATAACAACAGACAGTGAGGAAATCCAGAGAATCATCAGGTCATACTTCAAAAACTTGTACTCCAAAAAATTGGAAAATCTAAAAGAAATGGATAATTTTCTGGATAGGTACCACATACCTAAGTTAAATCAAGACCAGGTAAACTATTTAAATAGTCCAATAACCCCTATGGAAATAGAATCAGTCATTAAAATCTCCCAACCAAAAAAAGCCCAGGACCAGATGTCTTCAATGCAGAATTGTACCAGATCTTCAAAGAAGAGTTAATACCAACACTCTTTAAATTGTTCCACATAATAGAAGCAGAAGGAACTTTACCAAACTCCTACAAGGCTACAATTACCCTGATTCCTAAACCAAACAAAGATGCAACAAAGAAAGAGAACTACAGACCAATCTCCCTCATGGACATTGATGCAAAAATACTCAATAAAATACTGGCAAACAGACTCCAAGAACACATCAAAACAATTATCCACCATGACCAAGTAGGCTTCATCCCAGGGATGCAAGAGTGGTTCAACATACGAAAGTCCATCAATCTAATACACCATATAAACAAACTCAAAGAAAAAAAAACACATGATCATCTCACCAGATGCAGAAAAGGCATTTGACAAAATCCAACACCCCTTCATGATAAAGGTCTTGGAGCGATCAGGAATACAGGGAACATACCTAAACATAATAAAGGCAATTTACAGCAAGCCAACAACCATCAAATTAAATGGAGAGAAACTCAAAGCGATTCCACTAAAATCAGGAACAAGGCAAGGCTGTCCACTCTCTCCATACTTATTCAATATAGTACTTGAAGTTCTAGTCAGAGCAATAAGACAATATAAGGAGATTAAGGGAATACAAATTGGAAAGTAAGAAGTCAAGCTTTCCCTATTTGCAGATGATATGATAGTATACATGAGTGACCCCAAAAATTCAACCAAGGATCTCATACAGCTTATAAACACCATCAGCAACATAGCAAGATACAAGATCAACTCAAAAAAATCAGTAGTCCTCCTTTATACAGTTGAAAAACAGGCTAAGAAGGAAATCAGAGATACATCACCCTTTACAATAGCCACAAATGATATAAAATACCTTGGGGTAACCTTAACTAAGCAAGTGAAAGACCTGTATGACAAGAACTTTAAGTCCCTGAAAAAAGAAATTGAAGAAGATGTCAGAAAATGAAAAGATCTCCCATGCTCATGGATGGGCAGGATTAACATAGTAAAAATGGCAATCTTACCAAAAGCAATCTCCAGATTCAATGCAATCCCCATCAAAATACCAACACAATTCTTCACAGACCTGGAAAGAATAATACTCCACTTCATATGGAAAAACAAAAAACCCAGGATAACCAAAAGAATCCTGCACAATAAAACAAACTATGGAGGCATCACGATCCCTGACCTCAAGGTCTACTATAGAGCTACAGTAATAAAAACAG